AAAATATTGCCCCACCCATCTGTCTAACATTGTTTCCTCACTTTGTCCACCTGACAAACTTCTCCACTTCTTTCAAGTGACTTCTGTAAACCCTCCTCTGACCACTGCAGTCAGAAACAGTCACTTTCTCTTTTGTGCCACCACAGTACCTTGTGCACACGCTTTGTTTGATATCACTGTTCACTCTGCAATGCGATCTTTGGTGTTCCCCTCGCCTTAACTATCTTGTTCATCAGCACAGACCTAGGAACTAAAAGAATGTTTGCTGGATAAATGTTCCCTTCCTTCTTTCCATCCATTTACTACCTCACAAATGAACTTTGGAACAGAATTCATTTTTAAACTGAAAAGAAAAATCAAGGATCTGGAGTTCTAGTTTAACAATACCCTTTGTTCAGTTATGAGGTTTTGTAGTAGAAATGACATGGATGTTTAAGTCAGAAGGCCTGGATTCTGCCATTTGCTGGGCATTGTTGCACAAATTATCTAACTATTCTGAGCTTTAGTTTCCTAAGCTATAAAATGGGGATCAAAACACCAAATTTACCAGATTGTTGAAAAGGTTAGTGACAAATGTGTAAAAAGTGCTGAAAGCTAATCTGGCAAACAGTAGTCACTATTGCTATAGAAAAACACTTTGGCCGTAGCCCAGTGATGGCGAACCTTTTGAGCTCGGCGTGTCAGCATTTTGAAAAATGCTAAGTTAACTCTGGTGCCATGTCACATATAGAAATTTTTTGATATTTGCAACCATAGTAAAACAAAGACTTATATTTTTGATATTTATTTTTATACTAGAGGTTCAGTGCATGAATTCGTGCACATTGAAAGGAAATTAATTAGAAGGTGGCCAGCAGGGTGGGACTGGGCTAGATGGGCCAGACACGCCCTGGAGCCAACCTCCCTCAGTCCCTCCCTAGCCGGCCGCACCTGGGGTGACCGGGGCTCGAAGGGCATCTGCGGAGTGAGCAGGGTCCCTCCGTCAGGTGGGGTCCCTCGGCCTGGCCTGTAGGGGTTGAGCCGAAACTGGCAGTCTGACATTCCCCGAGGGGTCCCAGAATGAGAGAGGGCACTCTACAAAGTTGCTGTCGCTCAGCAGCTCCTACGAGCATCTGTCCCCTGGTGGTCAGTATGCGTCATAGCTAATGGTCAGATGGTCACTTAGGCCTTTATATATATAGATATTTAAATGCCATTTAACAAAGAAAAATCAACCAAAAAAATGAGTTCGCGTGTCACCTCTGACACGTGTCATAGGTTCGCAATCACTGCCCTAGCCAGTTTGTCTCAGTGGATAGAATGTTGGCCAGCAAACCAAAGGGTCCCGGGTTTGATTCCTCGGGCCGGGCCCCAGGGCCCATGCAGGAGCCAACCAATCAATGTGTTTCTCACACATAGATATTTCTTTCTGTCTTCCCCTCTTTCTTCCACTCTTTCTAAAAATCAATGGAAAAATATCCTCAGGTAAGGATTAACAAAAATAAGAAAAAAACACTTTGTAAAGTAGTATACAAATGTTAACAATACGAGCCAGGCATTTGTGAAATATTTTTCTATAATATTTTCTTTAATCTTCATAACAATTCTCTCAGCAACTCAGCATTTTAATATTAAAAAAATACTTTCAAGCATATGATCATTTTGCAGAAAAGTAAATGGAGGCTGAAGAAGGTTAAGTAACTTGCCCCATGTTGTATAGCTTATTAAGTGGCAGAGTTGGAATCTGACTAGAGGACAAATAGAAAGAATCTAGGTTTTATAGGGCTTAAGTTATACAATTTTAGGGGCTTTAAGAATACAAAAACATCTATTTTTGAAAAATTTCAAAAGCATGACCATATGACTATATTTGTAGTCTCTTAGAGTTCCTTGGAAAGGGTTTCTGCAACTGAGGAGCTTGAGCCAGTGAGGGGCCCTGAAGATTCAAATCCCCTCCTGGGCCATGCTCTTAGCCACAATGCTTGATTTCCTCCAAATTAGTTACACAAGTAACAATGATGATTGTAGGAGTACATCTCTTTGAATTGAAATCTCTATATATCAGTGGTTCTCAACCTTCTGGCCCTTAAATACAGTTCCTCATGTTGTGACCCAACCATAAAATTATTTTCGTTGCTACTTTATAACTGTAATGTTGCTACTGTTATGAATCGTAATGTAAATATCTGATATGCAGGATGGTCTTAGGCGACCCCTGTGAAAGGGTCGTTCAACTGCCAAAGGGGTCGCGACCCACAGGTTGAGAACCGCTGCTATATATAAAAGCCTAAGCGACTGTTACCACAGGATGACTGGCTGGTAGCTATGTCGCACACTGACCACCAGGGGGCAGACACTCAATGCCGGAACTGCCCCCTGGTGGTCAGTACGCTCCCACAGCCAACCTCAGGTGGCTGGCCAACCTCCTGCGGTCCCTCCCTCGGCTGGCCAGCCCCCGATAGGGACTGGGCAAGATGGCCCCGATCGGCCCCGGTTGCTGGCCAGGCTGAGGGACCCCACCTGTGCACAAATTCGTGTACCAGGCTTCTAGTATGGAAATAATAGTGTCCACCTCACAGGAAAAATAAATTAGGATTAACAAACATGAAGAAAAAAAATCACCTGGTATTAAGAAAATTGGTTGTGCTTTATGAATGAGTCTTGAATCTATTGAGGAATTGTATCTAATATACAACCCATACGAATTCTAGACTCTCCTCTATGAAATTTTTCCCAACACAAATGCCCTTCCCCATGGAGTGGTCTTTTTTCCTTGCCTAGGATACCTGATATATCCTCCATTATAGCAATTATTTTATTGTGTTGTAGAGAGTATTTTACATTTCTAGCTTCCAAACTGTATATGCTTTGCAAGCTGGGATCAAATCTTTTTAACACCCCTGAGCAGGGACATAGTAAGTATTCAATAAATACTCACTGAATAAGTGACTTACATTAAAAATTTTGTGCCCTACCTGGTTTGGCTCAGTGGATAGAGCGTCAGCCTGTGGATTGAAGGGTCCCAGGTTTGATTCTGGTCATGGGCACATGCCTGGATTGCGGGTTCAATCCCCAGTAGGGGGTGTGTAGGAGGCAGCCAATCAATGATTCTCATCATTGATGTTTCTCTCCCTCTCCCTTCCTCTCTGAAGTCAATAAAAATATATTAAAAAATTTTTATAACACTCAAATTCAGAATTAAAAAGCTGGTGATAAAGCTGGGTTAATAAATACTCAAAAATGAGATGTGCCTATTAAAATCTTTTTTTAAAAAATTATTGAGAGCCAGTACTGGTATAAATGAAAAATATAAAACTATAAAAATCTAACCATGAGTATTTGAGAAACATCATTCATGTCATCATCAGTAGCATTATATTAGCATATTATGTTAACATTATAACACTATTTTAGGGAAAGAGAAATAGACATTTAACGCACTTACCCTCTGTTAAGGGTTGAATTAGTGTGCCCACCAAAACTCATGTCCTTCCTAGAACCTCAGAAAGTGATCTTAGTTGGAAACAGGGTTGTTGCAGATGTAATTAGTGTAGGGTGGGCCCTTAATATTCACTGGTGTTCTTATAAAAAGAGACACAGACAAAGACACATGAAGACAGACGGCTAAGTGATGCTGACATGGGTAGAGATGAAAGTTGTGCAGTTGCAAGCCAAGGCGTGCCAAGGATGGTTGGCAACCACTGGAAGCGAGGAAGAATGTCATCATCAGTAGCATTATATTAGCATATTATGTTAACATTATAACACTATTTTAGGGAAAGAGAAATAGACATTTAACCCACTTACCCTCTGTTAAGGGTTGAATTAGTGTGCCCACCAAAACTCATGTCCTTCCTAGAACCTCAGAAAGCGATCTTAGTTGGAAACAGGGTTGTTGCAGATGTAATTAGTGTAGGGTGGGCCCTTGATATTCACTGGTGTTCTTATAAAAAGGGACACAGACATAGACACATGAAGACAGACGGCTAAGTGATGCTGACGTGGGTAGAGATGAAAGTTGTGCAGTGGCAAGCCAAGGCGTGCCAAGGATGGCTGGCAACCACTGGAAGTGAGGAAGAGGGAAGGAAGGATTCTTCTCTACAGATTTCAGAGGGAGCATCCCTCTGCCGACACCTTGATTTTGGACTTTCGCTTCTAAAACTGCGAGATAATATATTTCTGTTGTATTGAGCCACTTATTTTGTGAGACTTTGGTGCAACAGTCCTGGGAACCTAACATACCCTCACAGTCAATACACTGATGTATTCAGTAGGCTACTATTTCCTTCACTCCCTCTGAGAGGATCGGATTTTTGTTTATGGACAGTCTTGCCACAGGCCCGTGGGATCCCTGAAAGCCAGGCTCCTGTCGGTCTTGTTGGGTCTTGTATCCCCAGCACTTGACAACATTTCTAGCACATGGCGGGCCCTCAGGAAGTGCTGGTGGATGAGTGAATAAATCAGTGCCCGAAGGACAAGAACAGCAAAGATCGTATCACAGACCATAACCGTTTTTTCCATTTGACTGAGGAGGAAAAAACCCAGGAATTAAAAATAATGTGACTTAATTTTAACGAACACACCAGAACTTGTTTCAAGTGAGCTTTTGCCTTTTCAAACCACTTATTTCTAGTAGCTAACAACTTTTATTTTATTATTATTATTTTTTGATTCCTCATTTGGGACTGCTCTTCGAGCCTGCTTTCTCAAAGACAGATTGGGTTTGCCCAAACAAAAGTAATTTGAAGCTAAGCCTAGGGATGAAATCTGGGGATAAAGCGGGGTTAATAAATACTCAAAACTGAGATGTGCCTATTAAAAACAGAGGCCGACTTTCCAAAATTGAGCTAATAATGTATGGTGATGGGAAACGTAGACGTTCCTTTAAAAACTTATCACTTGCTATTCTCCAACTCCAAGAAACAACGTCCCTGCGCGGTGGAGTGTTCATACAATCTACGCCCAAGTGGGGGATTGAACATGGGCAGAGACCCCGGAAGCTCTCCAGCCCCCATACCAACCATAACGAAGTCGTCCTTCCGGTAGGCCCGGAACACCTGGTCAAACCCGAACGCCTGGGCCTCGATTCTGCCCAGCATGGACCTGGAGCACAGGAGGGGAAAGTCAGCTTGGGGCCGGCGCCTCCGAGGGCACAGCGGCCCGTCCCA